GTCAGTATGGCAGTCAGTATGTCAGTATGGCAGTCAGTATGTCAGTATGGCAGTCAGTATGGCAGGCAGGCAGTCAGTATGGCAGGCAGGCAGTCAGTATGGCAGGCAGGCAGTCAGTATGGCAGGCAGGCAGTCAGTATGGCAGGCAGTCAGTCTCTAATAATAATAATACTGATAATATTAAACATGGAGTAGCTGGACTGCCATGAGATCAGATCACAGAGGGGGCCGCAGGGGATTCTGGGAGATGCCGGGTCAGCCCTGTCACCCCGAGCGGCCGGTACCGGGAACGGACTCACCGAACTCTGAGGCGATATCCCGGCTCAGGTATTCCCGCCAAGCAAATCAAACCGAACCGACCGAGACACAGCTGCTATCACGTGAGGGGCGGAGAGCCAATCAGAGGAATGAGCGCGGTCACGTGACGGATGTTTGCTCCCGTCATGCTCAGCGTGCAATAAGGGCTCACGGGAAATGTAGTCTATGTAGCTGTAGAGACCATCTTTTAAAGGGACATGCATCTCATTACAAAGCTTTTGCAAACCAAACTAAAATAAACCGAGAAACATCTGTAAAATATGTAATTACTATAAACTGAGTTTCGCTCGTTTGTCGACTCCCCCCGCATCCTCCTCTCTCGCACCCACTAATCCTCCCATCGGGGCGTCATGCGCTAACACCGGCCACGCACTTAGAGCCGTTAGCACGCTCAGAATGTAAACCAAGGAAACAATGAGAGCCAACAGATACTGTGTATATCCCGTCCAGACCCCTACGCACTGCCGAAGACCTACCTATCCTCACTAATATACAAATATGTCCCGTCTGGCCCGCTACGCTCGGCCGGAGATCTACCTATCCTCACTGATACACAAATATGTCCCGTCTACCCCCTACGCTCTGCCAGAGACCTACCTATCCTCACTGATATAGAAATATGTTCCTTCTAGCCCCCTACGCTCTGCCGGAGACCTACCTATCCTCACTAATATACAAATATGTCCTGTCTGGCCCACTACGCTCGGCAGGAGATCTACCTATCCTCACTTATATACAAATATGTCCCGTGGGCTCCCTATGCTCTCCCGGAGACCTACCTATACTCACTGATACACAAATATGTCCTGTCTGGCCCCCTATGCTCTGCCAGAGACCTACCTATCCTCACTGATATACAAATATGTCCCGTCTAGCTCCCTACACTCTGCCAGAGACCTACCTATCCTCACTGATATTCAAATATGTCCCGTCTAGCCCCCTACGCTCTGCCGGAGACCTACCTATCCTCACTGATATACAAATATGTCCCATGGGCCCCCTATGCTCTACTGGAGACCTACCTATCCTCACTGATACACAAATATGTCCCTTAAGCCCCCTTCGCTCTGCCGGAGACTTACCTATACTCACTGATATACAAATATGTCCCGTCTAGCCCCCTACGCTTTACCGGAGATCTACCTATCCTCACTAATATACAAATATGTCCCGTCTAGCCCCCTACGCTCTGCTGGAGACCTACCTATCCTCAACGATATACAAATATGTCCCGTCTGGCCCCTTACGCTCTGCCGCAGACCTACCTATCCTCACTGATATACAAATTTGTCCTGTGGGCTCCCTACGCTCTACTGGAGACCTACCTATCCTCACTGATACACAAATATGTCCCGTCTAGCCCCCTACGCTCTGCCGGAGACCTACCTATCCTCACTGATATACAACTATGTCCCTTCTAGGCCCCTACGCTCTGCCGGAGACCTACCTATCCTTATTAATATACAAATATGTCCCGTCTAGCCCCCTACACTCTGCCGGAGACCTACATATCCTCATTGATATTCAAATATGTACCGTCTAGCTCCCTATGCTCTACCGGAGATCTACCTATCCTCACTAATATACAAATATGTCCCTTAAGCCCCCTTCGCTCTGCCGGAGACTTACCTATCTTCACTGATATACAAATATGTCCTGTCTTGCCCCCTACGCTCTGCCAGAGACCTACCTATCCTCACTGATATACAAATATGTCCCGTCTAGCCCCCTACGCTCTGCCGGAGACCTACCTATCCTCACTGATATACAAATATGTCCCATGGGCCCCCTATGCTCTACCGGAGACCTACCTATCCTCACTGATACACAAATATGTCCCTTAAGCCCCCTTCGCTCTGCTGGAGACCTACCTATCCTCACTGATATACAAATATGTCCCGTCTGGCCCCTTACGCTCTACCGGAGATCTACCTATCCTCACTAATATACAAATATGTCCCTTAAGCCTCATTCGCTCTGCCGGAGACTTACCTATCTTCACTGATATACAAATATGTCCTGTCTTGCCCCCTACGCTCTGCCAGAGACCTACCTATCCTCACTGATATACAAATATGTCCCGTGGGCCCCCTACGCTCTACCAGAGACCTACCTATCCTCACTGATATACAAATATGTCCCGTCTGGCCCCCTACGCTCTGCCGCAGACCTACCTATCCTCACTGATATACAAATATGTCCCGTCTGGCCCCCTACGCTCTGCCGGAGACCTACCTATCCTCACTGATATACAAATATGTCCCGTCTGGCCCCTTACGCTCTGCCGGAGACCTACCTATCCTCACTGATATACAAATATGTCCCGTCTAGCCCCCTACGCTCTGCCGGAGACCTACCTATCCTCACTGATATACAAATATGTCCCATGGGCCCCCTATGCTCTACCGGAGACCTACCTATCCTCACTGATACACAAATATGTCCCTTAAGCCCCCTTCGCTCTGCCGGAGACTTACCTATCCTCACTGATATACAAATATTTCCCGTCCAGCCCCCTACGCTCTACCGGAGATCTACCTATCCTCACTAATATACAGATATGTCCTGTCTAGCCCCCTATGCTCTGCTGGAGACCTACCTATCCTCAACGATATACAAATATGTCCCGTCTGGCCCCTTACGCTCTCCCGCAGACCTACCTATCCTCACTGATATACAAATTTGTCCTGTGGGCCCCCTACGCTCTACCGGAGACCTACCTATCCTCACTGATACACAAATATGTCCCGTCTAGCCCCCTACGCTCTGCCGGAGACCTACGTATCCTCACTGATATAAAAATATGTCCCATCTAGCCCCCTACGCTCTGCCGGAGATGTACGTCTAACCTCTGTGCGTATTCCTACCTTTGATGCTCGTCTTAAAGACTTCTCTAGACTTCTGCACCTTTTCTGTGGAATTCCCTTCCCCTTGTTCGTGAGTCTTTCGGTAGTTTAAGTTCGAGGAAATGTACACGAACGTGGGTGCCCTTTAGACTGTCAATTAGGCTGTGGTTAACCGCAGACCGCAGCTCCTTTGGTGGTTAATTAGAGGCACGCTCCGCTCGTAAGGTGGTCGGTTGTTCGGTACTTTCAAAGGTGACGGGGTTAAGTGGCGGCATAGGGTGGTCCGTCGTTCGTATACACCCAGTGGCGTACACATGACCCACGGGGCCCCGGTGCAAAAATTGATCCGTGGGCCCCCCCACGCGCTTACTCGACGCGGGTCGGGGTCGCAACACATGATGGCGGGCACCTGGTCGCAGGGGTTGCAGGGCTGCGACCCCGCAACCGCGGTATGCACACACACTTAAAGGACCACTACAGACACCCAGATCACATCAGCTCAATGAAGTGGTCTGGGTGCCAGGTCCCTCTAGTTTTAACCCTGCAGCTGAAAACATAGCAGTTTCAGAGAAACGGCTATGTTTCACTGAGGGTTAATCCAGCCTCTGGTGGCTGTCTCATTGATAGCTGCTAGAGGAGCTTCCGCGATTCTCACTGTGAAAATCACAGTGAGAAGACACTGAACGTCCATAGGAAAGCATTGAGTAATGCTTTCCTATGGGCGGTTTAAATGCGCGCGCGCCTCTTGCCGCGCATGTGCATTTCGGAGCTGAGTGGCGGACACTGGGGAGTCCGACGCTGGAGAAAGGTAAATGCTGAAGACACACACACACACTCTCACGAACAGACGCATACACACTAGCTAACAGACACACACATTTACTGACAGAGACACACTCAGCAACAGACATCCGTACACACTCACTTACAAAACATACACTTTCACTGACAAACACACACTCACTAACATACATCAAACACACTCAGTAACAGACACACACAGTAACTCACTCACTAGCAGACACACACCCAATAACAGACACATTCACTGACACACACTAACAAACACACACACACTAACACACACTAACACACACACACTCACACTAACACACACTAACACACACATACACTAACACACACACATACACTAACACACACATACACTAACACACATACACTCTAACACACACATACACTAACACACACACACACACACTAACACACACATACACTAACACACACATATTTTTTTTTTCAAATTTAATCCCCCCAGCCTCCTTACCTTTTGGAGTGCTGGGGGGATTCCCTGGGGTCCAGTGGTGCTGCTGGGCTCATGGTCACTGGGTGGGCGGGCTGCCTGGCTGGCTGACGCGCAAGGGAGCACTTTCCCCTGTGTGCTCCCTCTTCAGCTCCCTCACGCGCCGCGTAGGGATGCCGGCTCCGTCATCAGTGCGGTGCGCGAGGGAGCTGAAGAGGAAGCACTGAGTGCTCCCTCGCGTGCCCCCCTGCCCGACCGGCCACCTGCCCGCTGGGGTCAGCAGGGCCAGCCTCGGGGGGCCTGAGGTGGCCGCCTCTTGGGCCCCCCAGGAGAAGAGGCTGGCCCTGTGGGTACATACCGGGTCGCAGGGGCAGCCGCGACCCCTGCGACCCTGGTATGTACGCCACTGTATACACCAATGTGTAGATATAACTGTTCGTATAATGTGTTCGTACTGTCTGGATACCGAACAGAGTATTAGATGAACAAAAGGGGGTTACTTCTATAACAGATTGGAGGGTTCTTGTAACAACCTATTTATGTCACACTCCCTAAACCTACTTACACTAACAGAAACATGGCTCTCTCCCTCTGATACTGCTATCCCTGCCTCACTGTCCTTTAGTGGTCTTCACTTTAACCACAACCCAAAGCAAGCTGAGAGTAAAGGTGGTGGTGTAGGATTTCTGCTTTAACCCCACTGCTCCTTTAAAACTCTGCCCCCCTTCCCTATCTTTCTCCAGCTTTCTGGCTATCTCCTCATATAATGCTACCCTCACCTCCCCCCTGAACTCTGCAGCCCCACTCCAAAGATGCACCTCAAGGAAGACGCGCCTCCAACCGTGGCACACTAAATCGACCCTCTACCTGCAGAGATGCTCCTATTCAGCTGAACGCTGGTTGAGGAAGTCCCGCACCTTGTCAGACTTCCTCCATTATAAATTTGTTTT